GGAAGGACCTCCCATGATCATGGATTGGAAGAATTAATATTGTGAAAATGACCATCCTACCAAAAGCCATTGATAGACTGAATGCAATGCCAATCAAAATCCCCATGACATTTTTCACAGACGTGGAAAAAACTATCCTAAGATTCATGTGGAAGGCACAAAAGACCTTGGATAGCCAAAACAACCCTGAGCACTAAGAGCAATGCCAGGGGGATTACTATACAAGATTTTAAACTGTATTACAGAGCTATAGTCATAAAAACAACATGGTACTGTCACAAAAATAGACCTATAGATCAATGGAACAAAATTGAAGACCCAAATATGAGTAAATGCAATTACAGTCACCAGATATTTGACAAAGGGCCAGGAATATTCAATGGAGGAAAGACAGCATGTTCAGCAAATGGTGCTGGCTGAACTGGATCTCCACTTGTAGAAGAATGAAACTAAACCCCTATCTTTCACCCTGCACAATAGTCAATTCCAAATGGTTCAAAGATTTCAATGTAAAGACTGAAACTCTGAAACTGTTAGAAGAAGACATTGGGAAAAACCTACAAGATATAGGTGTAGGAAAGGATTTTCTAAACCGGACATCAATTGCTCAGGAAACAAGGGCAAGAATTAACAAATGGGACCTCATTAAACTAAAAAGCTTCTGTACATCAAAGGAGGCAACCAAAGAAGGAAACAGAAAACCCAGAGAATGGGAGAAAATCTTCACCAGCGACACATGCGACAGAGGTTTAATATCAGAATATGTAATGAAATAAAAAAACAGAGAACCAAGACAAGAAGCAACCCAAATAAACGATGGGCTAAGGAGCTGAACAGAGAGTTCTCAAAAGAAGAAGGAAAGATGGCTTTGAAACATCTTAAAAGGTGTTGAACACCTCTAATAATTAGGGAAATGCAAATTAAAACCACTTAAAGCTTTCATCTTACCCCAGTCAGACTTGCTAAGATCAAGAAAACAAATGATACCAAATGTTGGAGAGGATGTGGGGAAAGGGGAACACTCATCCACTGCTGGTGGGGCTGCAAACCTGTTCAACCCCTAATGAAAGCAGTGTGAGAACTCTTAAAAAACTACAAATGAACCTACCATTTGACCCAGTTATACCACTCCTTGGCATATACCCAAAGAACTCATCCTATTGCAGAGACACTTGTACATCCATGTTTGTTGCTGCTCTTTTCACAATAGCTAAGAGAGGGAAGCAACCTAAGTGCCCCTCAACTGATGAGTAACCCTAATGGAAATGTGGTTCATTTATATGATGGAGTTCTACTCAGCAGTAAAGAAAGATGAAATATTGAAATCTTCTGGTAAATGGATGGAACTAGAAACTGTTATACTAAGTGAAGTAACAGACTCAGGAAAAAATCAACATATGTTCTCCCTCATATGTGGATCCCAGAACCAGACCCTGATAAATGAGTATGTGACTAGACATAACTACAGAAACCAGGATAATGGAAAGGAAACAGGGAGGTAAAAGAAAAGAAAGAACCTGAAAGAGAAAAACAGTATTAAATAGTCCTTCATAAGGGAGATATGGATAAAAATTTGGTTTAAGGGAGGGGGTTGGGAAGGGTATATACAAGGAACCTATGGGGATAAAGGAAAAGGATCTCAAGAGAGGTAGGACCATAGGAGAAGGGTATTATTAAGGGAGAATGGGGGGAAAATGAGGGCAGCTTAAGTGGGAAAACCATGATGGAGGGGTGAGACAATGTGAGTGATAAACAATGCCTAGCTAGTTTTGAAAACCGGAGGGAATCATATTATTCCTACAACCTACTGACAAATTATACATAGTAGATCAGGAAATAAATGTCTAGGTAAGGTTTATCTGAGAACAACTGGCCTTTGCCCAAGATTTATCTATATGACACACAGTAATTAAAAGTACCAGACTGGTGGAACTAACCTTCCTGGATGTTTAACAGACATACTTTGAGGCCTATACTAATTTGGTCAGAGGGATATAAAGGACAGTTTTTGCTCCTGGCCCTCCTAGGTTGACTAGTTCCAGGGGACTATGAGTATCTCCCAAAATGTCCTGTAATGGTGGTGGGTCACCTGCCCTCTTGATCAGGGAGGCCAAGGAGACTCCACCAGATGGACTTGAACCAGTGTCCAGTCTGCAAAGAGGAGGGTCAACACAGAGGAATCATTTCCTCCATTCTTCCAAGCAAAGCCAACCATGGTTGAACAGCTATCTTTGACTTATCTTCACACAGGCAGAACTGATAAAAGAAAGGAGCCAGGGGCTCCTCCCAAGCCCATGTGACCGCTGAGGAACAGATCCTCAAATGACCCTAAGAGTGAAAATCAATTGGGCCAACTGTATAGCTTTAAACACCCAAAAGGAAAGTATAACCAAAGATTAAAGGGGCCAATATAATTTCTTAAGAGACTATATGCATAGCTAAAGGCCAAATACCAAGCAACAATGCCAGACAGGTGACACCTTCTTTTGAGTTGTTGGCCAGGGCGGCCAAAGGGACTCCCAGATAGTAACCCAGCATAAAACTGGGAAAATGAACAGCAGACCCCAATCTTATCTAAAGGAATATTGGCAACTGATTAGATGAGGAACAGCTGACCCTCCTATAACATAGACCTCTAGATAGGCTGACTAGATTCACCAGAAGGGCAAGTAGTGGGGAATGGCTGGGGGTGCCAACAGCACAGCAGACAGTAGCAGGGATATCAGAGTATAAGGGCTCTAGTGGGGGGAGGGAGGTAATGAGAGGGTGTCATCTGGGAAGTGTGTGTATAGTCAAATGAGATGGTTTGGGATGTTCTCTGATATATACACACGAAAAAAAATCAATTTTTTAAAAAATGTATTTTATTTGAGGAAGAAGCGTGGAAATTTACATCATGCTAATTAGTAGAGGTGATAAACAATACCATTGAAATCTACCCAATTACTTTGTAGACATACACAAGTGCCAAGGATCCAAGTGCCACCAATTATGACTAGTAATAATCAGATACATACAGATTAGAGATGCAAGCGCCAACATCTCAGTGTTAGTAGCAAAAACAATTAGTCTTTCTGCAAGGAACAATACATTCTAAAATGAAATGGAGATCTTTTTTAAAGGTTAAAAACTCATCCAATTTTATGTATTACAGGGCTTATACTGAGTTCAATAATATACAACTATATTAATTCAATTGTGAACCTAGAAACTTGCACCCACTTGTGACAGAGATGTACTCTTCCTCTGGAGTGTGTTACTGAATATGTTTAAGCCGTAGTGAAAAGCTTCTTCTAATCATGTAGTTATTAAAAATTTTTTTAAATATGATAAAAAATAACTCTCAAAGGATAAAAATTTTCTCCTTAATAATTAGTAAATGTGAAAAACATTATCATTGAAATCTACCTAATGAATTTATATAGTTGTATATTTGCCAAAGATCCCAGAAAGTAACTGACTGTGACTAGTAATAATCAGATATACAGAGATTAGGGATGCATGTTGAAACATCTAAGTGT